ATTTATCTGTCCAATTTAGTAAAATAATTGGAAAGTATGAATTGTTAACTGGGGATGAGGGTAGATCTTCTCATCGACCTTCGATTAATAATGAGCGTGTGAGCGTGATATAACGTCGATAACAAGTCTAGAAAGGCTCTTAGCTCTATCAGTACTGCACATGACGTAGCTATAGAACGACGACGGCTTGCTCCTCGTATATGCGAGGTACGAACAAGATGGTCGGCAGTTACCGTTGACTCTGTTTTCCCTATCTACGCTATCTACATTTCACGCAAGTTAATAAGCAAGCTAACAAAGATCTCATTACCGAATTTTAAGGAGAATGTCGCCCAAACCAGACATCATATTTCTAGATAGACTAACCTTAAATAGATTGGATTACCGGATATATAATGATGCGAAACAATCTTTACACACAAATGTATTCTCAGACGGCCAGGCTGACACATTTTGATGTATCACTACATAAACAAATTGTGAGAGATGCAACCATAACCGAGACAAACTGCAACAGTTGTGTACAGACATTAAGGTAAAGAGACAGTCAGTCACTCCATCGGTCGGTCGGTCAGTCGGTCGGTAGGTCGGTCTGTTACGAGCCTTTGAATGAGATATTGAGAATTTTGATCGATCTTAGTTGTAAGTGTACACGGACATCAGATCCGTTAGATAACCATAGAGATAGCGAGCGAACAGGGCGTGCTAACCATCACCCTAGCGCTAACAATGACTGTAACATTTTATAAACGATCTTCTCATTGTATGCAGGTTGGTGCAGCAGCAGGTCACCTCTCACTACTCTATCTCGTTCCCCCAACCCGATTTCCATGCCTCGTGCCCAACCCACCATGGAGTACTATGTCATGAAGTATCATGTCATGATGTACCATGCCATGATGTACCATGCCATGATGTACCATGCCATGATGTACCATGCCATGATGTACCATGCCATGAAAGCACATGCCATGAAATGACATGCTATAATGTGCCATGCTATAAAGTGCCATGCCATGAAGGCACATGCCACGGAGTACCAGTCCATGAAGGCACATGACATGGAGTTCCATGCCATAAAGGCACATGTCATGATGTAACATGCCATGAAGTTCCACGCCATGAAGGCACATGCCATGGAGCACCATGCCATGAAGGCATATGTCATGGGAGTCCTGAGCCGATTGAGATTCTTCTGCGCTTACACACAACCTCCGGTTACAGGAGGGGCACTGGCCTGTGTGCTCCTCCTCTAGAGAATAATAGATCACAAACATATGAACGCCAGCGTAGTGATTTAATTCGATATCAATACACTTTGCCGTTTATATTTCGTTGAACGCTACCAGCGGAGCCTCAAAGATTCGGATACGAAATCGGCGAGTCTGGAAATCAAATTTCACTTCCCGCCGGTTACTAGGTCAACCAAAAACTCTCCTATTAACTATCGATGATCAAATGAAAACAACAAGTATCGGCGCGGGATATGGGAACCAATGATCATGTTTCATTCATGCGTCAGCTCCCATGCCACTTCTCGCGGCGAGTGCTCGCCTCTACACCGTACGTGAAAGCCAAGCCAGAGTGCATGCCAGCAGTCGGATACAATCCCCGATACGTATATTGATGTCAGCACCGGGTAGGGTAATTTAATTCGACCGCACTAAACATCGTACTACATGATCTAAACTATTAATTATCCGTTTGTTCTATAATCAATTATCTAACTGAAAGTGGCAAGATTCGCAAAGTTTTCTTTCCACAAGTCATGCGTTTAAACTTATAAAGCGATGAAAGCAAACAAATTACTCTATCACACTCTGATGCCCAATATTATAAATTTGTATTGAATCTACTTTCGCTCAGCAGCTGTTGCTATTTGTATGTAATAGCGCACTACTGCTAACCGCAGGAGGACACCTATACCAGTTTATAAATGTTGAGTTAACAGGCGAAGCATTTATCACCATCTTATAAGGTTGCTATGCATGACTGTGATTTCAATACGTATTATTAGTAGCAGTAATCGTAGTGGCAGTTTAATAGTTGTGGCATTATTAGTTGTGGTGGCGGTGGCGGTGACTGTGGTGGTGGTGGTAGCGGTGGCGGTGGCGGTGGCGGTGGCTGTAGCGGTGGCGGTAGTGGTGGTGGCGGTGGCTGTGGCGGTGGCGGTAGTGGTGGGGCGTGCTGTGGCGTGGCGTAGTGGTCGGCTGTGGCGTGGCGGTGGTCTTTGGCGTGGCGTAGTGGTGGTAAGGTGGTGGCGCTGCGGTGCTGCGCGGCGGTGGGGGTGATGGTGTATTGTAAGTTGGCTGAGGTAATGGCAGTGATGCGCAGTGATATAAATCCAGCAGGTGTTTCACAATGCTTGTGTATGCGTGTCGAACATTTTACACATAAACGCGTGTCCCGAAGTGAAGACACAAGACACAAGACTAGATGTAGTTGTAACATATTATTGATATAACGCTATACAGTGCATGTACGATGTACGAAACTGATAACACAAACATAGTGGTTTCCGCATATATGTATACCTGGCTCTAATTACTGCTGTCGGCATGCCACCTGTACGCTGCGGTCTTCCATCAGCTACCCAATTCAGCTTCTTGCAATTTAGTATGGGTATTATTTCCGGAGCTCTGAATACATTGAAAAACTGTAACTAGTTCCCGATTGTTAGTGAACGTAATGACGTCAGTAACGCAGATGGATTGTACATTTGGCCATGAATAAGTATAATGCGCTGTATCCATGCAATCTATCTTTTCCGCTTTCTCATCTATGCCTGTTCTCTCGCACGCTCTCGCGCTCGCTTCTCCCTCTTTCTCGCGGGCGTTTCTTTCTTACTTTGTGACCACAGCTCCCTTCATTGGATCTCATTTTCTATTCGTTCTTGCATCTCGCATTGATTCAGAGTATTTCATTGTGCCTGCCTACAATTGGGTTTAGTACAGCTACACTATAGAAATTCTATGCGCGAACATACATAATCTGCCAAGGTTATTTGAGGAAATATATGATCAGAAGTAGATAATAAAGAAATTTTACTATTCTCTTCCTATTATCTACTTCTGACATTATGGATATAAAACACCGACCCACAAGTCACATACAATTACGGGAGTATTGTTGGGAGAAATCCCAACGTTAGATGAAAGCGTAGCGGTCAATATTTTCTAGGAGACTTTTAGTCACATAATAAATTTCAATTAAAAAACTTCCGAGTACAAATTGACTCCCGTAAGCGTTTTCAATGCCATTTTGAGGTGGTTGGTATTCGGAACATGGTTGACAGGATTCATATTCGTCTTGTTTGTTTTCTCGCCAGCGATTGCATTCAACGAGGACATTTTAATCAAACGTGGAAATTGTCAAGTAGAATCGCAGCGTTCTGCTGTCCGTTTAGGTGATGAATCCCAAAGCTGAGCTTAGGTCAGAAGAAGTTAGGCCTCGTTGTTAAATTGGATTCCGAGTGCTACATATAACGCACGCGGCTTCAACCATATTTAATGTGGAATTGAATTTCGCATATAGAAAACGAAGAGTTACGATGAGTGAGAGTCAAGATGTTTGATACGGATTCGCACGCTGGTGATTTATGTAAAGAATTCAAATCATTTATAAATTCATACTGAACATTAAACGCACATCTTTCTAACGATTCGTGGACTTCAGCGCTGCTATAGTATGTATTATTACGCGAAACAATTTTAATTCAAATCGATTCGAAATGATTTTGATTTCAATTTCAAATCTATCTATTTATTTATCTAGCTATCTATCTATCTATCTATCTATCTATCTATCTATCTATCTATCTATCTATCTATCAAGTAATAATAATAATAATAATAATAATAATAACAATAATAATATTAGTAGTACCGAGTTTTATTACAGATTATAAGTAAAAAATGAGTTCAGGGCCCGACCGTGTCTGTTAACAAACATAACATGTGTTCGTCAACGTTTGGTATCTCATAGCGTCGAGTTATTTTCCCTGATTTAGAAGTATATATCACGCATAAATATTGCCTGCCAAATGCCTGGACGTCGTCCGCATGCAATTTTAACGAGATGTCTTAGCGATAAAGTGAAATTCTAATTTGACATTTTTAGGAAAACAGCATATAAATTAGTTCGAATCCGTTGCAAGTATTAGTTTAGCGTAGGAAAATCGTTTTGATCAGTACCGACAGCTTGCGTGCGCGTAACACGCGCTTGTTCTTACTACAGACGTTATTGGTTTGATTAGGCAGTAAAGCATTGCTACAATGTAAAAAAAACGTCGTAACGGTATTGCTAAGCTAAACTAACAGTTGGGAACTGTTTTACTAGCGAAACCTGACGTTGGAAAGATCATCGCACCGTGAGAGGAGTGACGTGGTCGCGTATAGCAGAGGCGATAACTTGGAGAAAAACCTGATGCGATTACGGCCGCATTATTTAATCATATGTTACGGAGCAATCTTCGACGAGTAAGCGCCGAAGGCTGTGACGAAACGGCAAGGATCTGATATGCGCTAATTGAATTGTGCAAAGGTTTTGCTGACCTGCGAAACGACCAGTTAATGTTTCTTAGTGAAATTCCATTACGCACAAGTAAAATTCAAATATAATCGATGAAACGATGTAAGTGCCAGTTATACAATTTTCAGATTGATTATTTAATCGTTTAATCATAAAATTATACTTCCTAAAGCTATAAGTAAATGGAAAACGCATAGATATACATTGTTATAAAGTATACAAACCCGTAATTCTGGTAGTTTTACTGCTTTGAAGTTATAAAATATAACCTTCCTAATCTCCCAACTCCGTATGCTTTGCCTCTATTGTTGTCTACACACATGTGAAAATAATACGGCTGTACCGTTCTAATTGTGAGTTTATACGGACGTTCATTTTAACAGAATTAATATACCCTGTCTAAATAGAACGATGTGTGTTTATCCACGCGCGCGCGTTCGCGTATGAATATACTATATATGGAAACTTACGAGATCCGTTTCCTCCTTTTGGTCTTAAACGATTGTCGTAGTTAGATCCTTCTCCTAAAATCTCATCTATGATCTCTTTCTCAGAGATATTTATATTGGGATTTGTGACTCTGTCGGAAGTATTTCTGCAAAATAACAGCAATATTTAATTATAACGGCGATTCCTGCTGTTCTCGTCAACAACTCAAAACAGATTTACTACGCACAATTCATACTTGGATATATTGAACGTAAAAAAACTATAATAGACTAAATAAAATCAGACAACATTAGTATACTATTTCCTTTGTGGCGTGAGCCGTCTGACATAGGTCCGTGACACATCTGGCATAGGTTAAAATGGGTTAATATAGGCGAATATAATAAAACAATAAAAATAGTGTGCAGTATAAGCAGGAAAAATATCAGTTTTACCATATAAGATAGTAATCGTAAACAAATAGTCAATATTGATGGCAAATCGTAGATTACATGCGTGTATGTACGGTTGTAAGTACGCATACCACACAATCAACGCACGCCTGCATGTAGTACACGCACACACGCCTACAACACACGCACGCACGCACGCACGCATGCATGCATGCAGCACACGCACACACGCATGCATAAACACACGCACGTACACATGGAGAGTAATTGAGCTAACGTTTTTATCGTTTGCATGAAACAAGCTTCCGGCAAATGCTATATCCAGTCGGAATAGTCGAACGCGGTTTTGCGATAAATGTCAAGGTGTGGCAATATGGCGTATGCGACCTTTTGGTGGCGCAACCATCAAACATTTAGAGGTGAATAAAAAGAGGCGAGAAAAATTTAAATGCCAAATTGCTGCAATTATATCACACATAAAACTAATAGGAAGTATCTTGTTCTTGTTATTAACGCAAAGTTATTCTTCAACCATGCATCCACGCACGCACACACGCATTCTTACACGCACACGCACGCGAACGCACGCACGCACGAGTGCACGCAATGCCCGTTTGCAATTTAATACGAGACCTGACAGTAGGCCCCATTTTTAACAGGGGGGGGGGGAAACAGCGAACTGCGCAAAATAGTGGATAACTTATTTTTTTTGGTTCCTAATATTTTAATGGTTCCTCCGCTTCCCTCTACACACCCTATGCTCCCCCGCCTCTCAGCTCTGCAATCTTTGTTTTGGGCGCCATGTAAAAAGGCGACATTTTTGTTTGTTGTTCTCTGCTGCCTAAATATGTAACTGTTCAGTGGCGAATCCAGGATTACAAGGAGGGGGGTGAAACACAGACGGGGGGTATGGGGGTCCTCCCCCGAAAATTTTGAAAATGTAGATAGCAGGAGATGGTATTTGAGGCACTTTAGAGTACATGCATGTACAGCCTTCATTCTGACTACGACAATTCTCTTTTTAGTAGAACAATTCTTTTTTTTCTTTTCTTTTTTAACTTTCAGATCAACAGGGGGTGCCATGGCTCCCTTTGCCCTCCCTAACTACGCCACTTCTAAGGCCTGAACAATCTTTGTAGTGCCGTAACCGGAACTCGAAACGACAGCTGCAAATTTTCGGGGTGTGTTTTTGCGCTGCAATACTTCGGCCGTATATGCCTAATAATAATCTGCGATTCCATTGTGACAAGCACATGTTCAGGATGCTGTATACACGGAATTTCATAGCCTTGACTTGCACGTCGAAAATCGCGCGTTGCAAATGTAAGTTACGCGATGCACTCACCAAAACGCATAGCACGTTAATTTCCTTACTACTTGCTATGCAGATAATCCTGGTAACTAACAATACACTTTCAACAATACAGTGTGTATTGTTGAACACCTTCTAACAATACACTGTGTATTGTAGTAGGTACCTAACAACTGTGTATTTAAATTCAATTTAATTTTCAATAAATTCAATAAAATCAATCAAATAATTTCAATAAATTCATTGAAATAAATGTCAATTTCAAGTTTACAAATCAAAAAGTAAACTAATTAAAAAATAAAAAATAAAAAATAAAAAGTGTATTTTTAGAATGTGTTCAACAATAAACAGTGTATTGTTGAAAGCTCATAGGTACCTACTACAATACACAGTGTATTGTTAGAAGGTGTTCAACAATACACAGTGTATTGTTGAAAGCTCATAGATACCTACTACAATACACAGTGTATTGTTAGAAGGTGTTCAACAACACACAGTGTATTGTTGAAAGCTCGCTAACAATACAAAGTGTATTGTTAGTTACCAGGATTATCTGCGCTATAACATCCCACCATTAAACAATGGGCAAGTCGACGATAGGCTACAAAGAGCCCTTTACTTTGACCTTTGTTGAAGGCGCACGACAATTTGTCCATGTTATTGTCGATGATAAACGCGGGCTTACTAAATGTACTTGGTCAATGACATTGACATTGACTGTGACAATGAATGTCTGTCAGTTATGTCTTCCGATATTTCTTTCTTAGTCAGGTGACTTTTCCTAATTATTTAGTAGGTTTTATAGAAATGACCACAAGCTGACAACGATTCACAACCTGTCTTAGGTTTGTGTCACGTCCTGGGTGTATGAAATATTATTTGCGTTCACGTGACACGGAGTCGACAAGACATATTGAAGCTAGTATTTCATTTACACGGCGAGTGTCACAGAATAAAGAGATTAGCGTATTTTACGCACTATGCAAGAGCGTCTTCCACTTGTTTTGGGAATCGCATTAACAGTAACATAATAGAGGTTTACATTACGGAAGCAACGTTTAATATTAATTAAACGCTTCATTAGGCCTATATTAAAGTCCGGAATGATTTTTAAGCATTAGTTATTGAATATTATTTTTTCAATATTTTAAAATATGTGCCTCGTGCAGCACATATAAAATTAAAATTAAATTTGAAAGACTGATCCTAAGACTGATACTAGCTTACCTACTTGACCTACAGCTAGCAACAAGTGTTTCATAACAAACAGATGCAATCGATTCTGACGCGGTTGTTTACAGTTCCTATTCTTGTTGTTGTTGTTGTTGTTGTTGTTGGAGTATATAAACAAATAAATAAATAAATTTATATATATATGTGTGTGTGTGTGTGTGTGTGTGTGTGTGTGTGTGTGTGTGTGCGTGTGTGTGCGCGCGTGTGTGTGCGTGTGTGTGCGTGCGTGCGTGCGTGTGTGTGTGTG